AGAGCACAGCAAAATATACTAGTTTAATTAAGGTATAATTATTAGTTGTAGTTTATAATTATTATCACTTTTATTCAGCGTATGTTTAATATGTTCCTAAACCATCATTGCGTGCTTCGGAAGAATATCACCGAGGGCATGTGCTTGAAAGTCCTCTGTAGCTGACTCAGTCGATACCTCGACTGCCTGAAGTTCTAAACACGCATTAACTGCATGCAGTCGATCTCGGCTGCATGAAGTCAATTTCGACGGTTAATGCGTGAAGTCATAATCAACTTCATGCAACCAACACTTCGACTGCGTGAATTTGATAACGACTTCGCGCCTTAACTGCATGCAGTCGATCTCGGCTGCATGAAACTTGTAACGACTTCAAGCATTAACTGCATGCAATCGAATCCGACTTCACGCAGCCGAAATCGACTGCATGAAGTTAATGCGTGAAGTCATTATCAACTTCTTGCAGCGAGGTCTCGGCTGCATGAAGTTGATTACGACTTCACACATCAACTACAAACATGCAGTCAATCTGTTAGCAGCCTTTGATGAATATCCGTTCAGCCGTTTAAAGATAATCAGCTCTTTTCGCAGTTAGTGTAGGAATCTCAGTCGTAAAATGAATTTATTTTACTTATCGACTTGAAATTTGTTACACTGTGGGCATCCGACGTTATTGTATATATATTATGGTAACCTTAATCTAATGCTGCAACCAGGACAATCTGCAGACTACCGAACTCTTAATCTATTTGCACAAACGTGTTTGGGCATTAAATTGGTCTCGACGAGACGTTAGCTTACAGGTATCGTCTCGTCAGGTGACTTTAATGACTCTTTGGAATGCAGTGTTTCGTACGGGGGCTTTTTAATTTTAATTTAAGTATTATCTGTTATTGTATTGCACGTCAAATATAAAGGATACATTCGAAAATTTCGTCGGGAAAAGTAACTCTGATTTCGATAATATTATAATAACAAGTCTCCTCAACTTTTATTGAAATTGATTACTGGAAAGTGCGCGATACGGGATTCATCCCCTAGTTTGCGACCCTTACAGGACCCGAATAGCGAGATGAGTGGACGACATTGTCAAAGTTGCGGGCAGTAGATGGATGAGGTTGACACAGGACCTATACCCAGCAGTGGGTGAAATCGGGCTGTGGATGATGATGATGATGGGACCAATACTGAGGTACCCTCTTTCCAACAAAAAAGAATCATCAAAATCGATTCAAGCAGTAATCGCGTGTCCTACACAAAAAAAATGTCGAACTGAGAGCCTCCTCCTTTTTTGAAATCGGTTAACAATAACAATATGAGATACATTTCTGGAAAAGCGTTGTCATTTTGTAACACTTTTTATCTATAAGGTAATTTTAATTCAGGGCACGAATTTTCATATATTTAATTTATTATTTGGCAGACTTGAAAGAATACTTCTCGCATAATTTCACAAACTAAGGCATAATTCATTGTTTATCTCGTAACATTAATTTCTCATATCCGTAGTAGGTTATGAATAAAGCGTCGTTCACACGGTGTACCAGCAGAGCGGAGCGTAGCGGCTTGGCGATGCCGGCGTCAGTACAGTTTTAATTGCGGCTAATAACGAATTACGCAATGTCGCTAACTGTGACATAATTGCCGTTGAATTTGTGCTGTTACAATCATCACACGGATGGAACCGCACGCGTCAAAACTTGAAAACTCTCTCTTGTTTCCGCTAAACTTAAAGAATTTATTAAGTTTTTTTTATATAAAAAACAGCCCACCTCTAAATTTTGTGGAATTACATCTTTGCTAAGTATTATTGAACTCGGTTAATGAAAAGTGGGTGGAATCCAATAAACGGGATTCATCCCCTAATTTACCGGCCTTAGAGGCCATTACAACAAAAAGAACCATCAAAATTGGTTCTCATATGTCGGAGTAAGCCCGTAACATACACACAAACAAACTATCGAATTGTGAACTTCCTCCTTTTTTAAAGTCGGTTAAAAACTAACTCGTATTATATAATAAATAAACATAACGCCTACTCGGAACATACTTATATCAGCCTATTCGATATTATTAACGTTTGAAGGAAAGCAGGGCCTGATTCGTACCACATAATTGTAAAGTGAATGGTTTTAAGATGTTCGCAGATAACCGAACGTAATCTGAACTATCACACTCGGTGAAATAAATTTGCTACGTCACAAAACCACTTGATACCTAGGTATCTCCTTTTGAAAGAGTCCGTCCAGGGAAGCACTGCCACCTTACCTATTTCTGCCGCCAAGCTGTAACGTCACCATTACTGCGTTCCGGTTTCGAAGGGTAAGGGTGCTGGTGGAATTACAGGCAACTTATGTGTCAGGGTGACGGGCGCAGTGGGAGTGTCCCTCAGATGTTTGCGATTTAAAACTGAGTGCAACTGCAACTGCTATGAACAGACGTGTCGCTGTTGTCCGCCATTCGCACGACTTGTTCATCCCATCACTAGGTATCATAAAAAAATAATATTCTTGAAAACAATGCCTTGAGAATCTGTTCCCATTTATCATCATCATCGGCAACCCACTATACCAGAGTCTCCTCTGAAGAGAGAGCCATGTTCCGCCGCACTCGCCCAATATGTGTAGGCGCGCTAGAGATATAGGTACTATCTATAAGGAAGACACACGTTTTCCAAGGGTTGTAAGCCCTCTTCAACGTGCAGTTTTTATCATGATATTTTCCTTCAACGCTAAGAAAGTCAATCAGGGATTAAGTAAAAACATCAACCTCTCAATTTTATTGAGAAGCACCCCATATTCTTCCGCTAAGGTGTGCGGCTTACTTGTGTGAAAATCAAATAAAGTCATTTTAAAACATATTGTGTTTAGAGTAAATGAATGTTTAAAAAAATTAAATTATAGAACGTAAGTTTATATTAAACGTTCATTATATATGGTGAATTGTTATATTAAATAACTTTGTATGAAATAAAATTATGCCAATCAAGCGTTATGTTAATAATATTTACATGAGTGAGACACATTTACATGAGATGATTAGTGCTCAAATGATCACACACATACAGGCATTATGTCGTTGCCAATGTATTAGTATCGTATTAAATTTTATTATTATATACATTTAACTCCTGTATTTTATACATTTAACTCCTGGAATTTGTTATTAAAATTTGTATCTTGTACCCTGGCACTCTATTGTATAGTACCATAAATTCAAGCACATAAGTACTGTTAGTAGCCTCTAGATGTACATATTCGGTCTTTTTGTACCTACCTACTGTAGCTGCTGGCTAAAGCTCAGAGTATTCTATTTTAGTCAGCGGCTGTACGTTATAAGCACCAGCCTTTCCCCAAGAAACATGTAATACTTGGTACTTACTTTAATATAAGTCTAACCTGTACCTAATGTAAGGCTTATGGAACAATAAATGATTATTATTATTATTATTATTATTATTATTATATATTTTTCCCTACCCGCTAAGCTAGCTCCGCTCTGTGAAGTATTTATGTACCTGCGTAAACTTTAATAGCTTTGTCGAATTCCTTAATCTGCCGACCGACACGGTCGTGGTACGCGATCCACTTTTGCCGAAGAACTAAATTCTTAACGAAGGTGCTAATCGAAGTGGAGTATCAAAAAGCTAAACAGTATCCGAGTAACGGCATTCGTTATGATGATACACGAAGTGTTACAGAAATTTTACTCACGTACCTTCTACTGATTATACGGGTTGTGTTTTTCTGTGTACGATTTGAAAAGACAAAAGTCAGTAAATACAATGATTGCCTAGCTATATTGAACGTGTTTTCTTTTATTTTTAAATAATCTGCCTCCGTGGCCGAACGGTTACCATGCCGGACTGCCACGCAGAGGTCCCAGGTTCGATTCCCGGGCCGGGAGAAATGTTTGTATGGCCTACATTTATTTCTCTCGTGAGTTTGGGTGTAATTTGTGGTTGTCTATGTGTGTGTCCATGGCACCCGCGACACAGGGTTTCCCTAGTGCGGGGCTATGTTGAGTGTGTGCGTTATTTATTTATTTATTTATTTAATGGTTTAAAGCTTTGTTGTTTTTTAACGACGGGACGAGCAAGCCGTGGGCTTGTTTTGGTAAGCGACACGCTTGTCCATAACAATTGCAGCGCCAATCAAAGCTTTAAATCGCAAAGATCTGAGGGGCACTGCCCCTGCGCCCGTCACCCTGAGACACAAGTTGATAAGTCCCATGTGCCTGCAATGTCACCAGCACTCTTACCTTTCAAGACCGGAACGCTTTAATGCTCACTTTACTGCTTGACGGCCGAAATAGGCAAGGTGGCAGTACTTCCCAGGACGAACTCTATCAGAAGGAGCTCTACTGCTGCTAAAATTGTCAAATTCTTTACGCGACTGACAACTGTCACATTAATGCTCATGCTAGAGGTACTAATTCTTGATAATCGTGTGTATTCGACACAGACCCAAGGAGGGGGTGACATGGACGGAATGGCACTAACATGTTTTGATCAGTTTTTTTTGTACAATTTAGCAATTCCACATTTAGGATGTAATAATTTGTAGTATTATGAAATACAGAAACAAAAAATAAAAAAATATTTTTTTAAAGTTATAAAATGTTAACTTTAGGACGTGACTTCACGGTTGTTTGCAAATCATTTTCGGTTATGTTTGTAGATACGGCATGGAGTTGGTAAGTGTGCGTAATGGTGAAAATTGCACACTAAATCGTTTTAGGACCGTGAATTATAGAGGTCGTTTGTATCTACATTCTCTTGTTATATGTAATTTAAAAAAAAGAATAGTGTCGACTTCTTTCTGTGTTTTAGTAAATACTTGCAATAATATCGTAATATGACAAATATGATAATCATTTGGTTCAATAGTGCATGATTTAATATTACTATATTTCCTTTGCAAATAACAAAATTCTGTTGTTCACAATGTATGTTTATGAAAACTGATTGACCTTATGTATTACCTGCTCATCAATTACAGGCTGCAACAGTATGTGGCGAGCGCTACTGCTGGCGTGCCTGGTGGCGTCAAGTCCGGCGCGGGCGCAGCAGACGCGACCTAACCGGGTCGTGGATGTAGCCAGCGCCTGCGATCGCTCCGCCTTTGCTGTGCACCTTACCTTGGACCAGCCCTTCAAAGGCCTTGTTTTCAGCAAAGATTTCTCGAGGGAATGTCGAGTTCAAGGTTAGTAGGTTTCCGTCCACTTTTATATTATTACATTGGGATGGCCAGTGATAGCTCAGTGGCAGCGCCCGTCGCTGAACTTGTGAACATATTGTAGGGCAGGTTCGATCTCGAGAAGATTACTTGGACTTTTGAAAGGTCGAGGAAATCTTGAGAAATGACTCCATGTTGGAGAAGACTTACCAAATCTTGCGAGTTTTTTAGACCCCAACTTGTACTTAGTACTATTTCCTAAAAAGTGACCCGTGCGCAATAATTGGACTTTAATGGTTCATAGAATAATTTGTATTGTTTGAATTTTTCCTTTTTTTTTTTAATTTCCTTCTTCCAGCGGTGGGTGAAGTCGGATTGTGCATTATGATTACCTACAATTTTAATTTTTCCTGTATTGAAAAATCATTCATGAACTTCTTATGACCACTTTTAAGGAAATCTTCAAAAGAAAGTGTCACTCCACCTGCCATCAAATGCATGTGGCGTGAGGACGTCGACCCTTAACACGACAGTGGAGGAACCAGACGACGACGAGGACCTGTATTATTCTATAGAATTGATCGTGCAGATGGACAGGCATTTGCAGCAGTCTTCTGACCAAGAGCTTATAGTCAGGTATGTGTTTCATCAATTTTGTGTTTACCATTGCTGAGGTAGTGAGTACTGTAAGGTTGTGACATCTAAGAACAATGTAATTTTCCCAATAATTATGTTGCATCAGTCAGCTCACTCTGTTCCGTATAGCAAGATAGCATTGCAAAAGTTTTAAATAACTTTCAGGTGCAAACTGCAACCCAGAGCAGTTCGCATCAACAGCTCAGCATTAGAAGGAGTCATCCAGAACAAATTACGCGAAATGTCGGGCAACGAAGTTAAGAAGTTCAGGTAAGTTATCTTGTTGACCATCTAGAGCCCCGTGGACCAATACTAGGACTGCTAATCGCAATACAAGGCAGCGTAGTCGGGTATTTAGTACCTACTGGTACACCAGATGTCGCGACGACTACCAATTTGCTATATAAGTAATCAGATTTACTCTTATCTCTAGTGTTAACAAACAGCTCAACTAGATAGCGCTTGTTTATGGATACTTACTTCCGTCTATTCTTTCATTAGCACCATGTATCCATATTAGCAAGCGCTAATTTATAAATTAGTTTGTAACGCACAATGACGTCTATTGACACGCATATTTGTCAAAATTCAAACTATTTTAACGCATAATGTATATTTGAGTAATATTACAAGGAAAAAGAAAACTTCTTACATTTCATATTAAAGAGGAATTAATTGATATCAACGGCCATAAATACAAACTAATATAAAGTACTTCCAGGCTTGTGATCATCTAGATATAAGTCGAAATGTTGACATTTTTCAGAGTTACGATTTGTAGTATGGAGATTAGCAGTCCTTTTAAGTTATCGGTCCATGTAAAATTGCAATGACAGTAATTAAATAAAGACGAAACGGTTTTCGATCTCTTCATTTCGTTATCAACGCAAATTAGCGCGAATGCTTTAAATTCATTTCGCCTTTTTGTACTTGACCATTTTTATAAGCGAATGGCGCGTATGATCGGATCTGCAGCTTGATTTTGATTGCCTCTCCCGATCCCGAAGCGTATAATATTGTGGATGAGCCCGATCGGATCCATCCCGATTCCGAGAAGGAAATAGGATCTTAAAAAACTTCGTGAATTCGTAATCTTGTTTTAAAACACACACTCACCAGACATACATTTTGTTAATAGTTAAGTGCTTATCTTCTAAGTTTATATAATAATTATATCCGTGCCGGGGGGGCCTGGAAGGTATAGCACAGGTTTCGACCTAGTTTAAATTTCAGCTTCGTCACAAATTATAATTAACTAATACAACTAGTACTTATTATGTAACAAGAATTTTGTAGTTTGTGATGGTAGAAAATAAACTATTTTTCATTTCATTTTCATTTTTCAAATATTATTTTCGGATTTCCAGGACTGGCCGCAACCGCCAAGGTTTTCTGAATCCAGCCGACGCGGAACAGCGCGAGATGCTGATGGAGTCAGCTCGGGCGTGGATGGAACTGGCGCCGGCGGTGGCTTCTATGGAGCCTGCTACTGTCGAGGTTGGGCAGCCCACTCGGTTACTGATACAATGCACTTTGCCCGGTAAGCGAAAAATCTGAATTGAAATAATGTATTTCAATTTATCCCATAAATCGTAATCTCCTTTCATTTAACTATTTTTACATTTGTACATCCATAATTACCAAATATATAAAGTGTTTAGAATGAACAAGGCTTTTCTCGACAGTGGGCATAGGACTTCGAGTAACGAACTGCGTGGCTCACGACGGCCTCGGCGAAGCATCGCAAAAACTCCTTGACGAGGCTGGTTGCCCTGTCGACGAGACCATCTTCAACAGACCTACCATTCACCAACATCGCCATAGGAGCGAGGTCGATTTATCGGACTTAGAACCCGTCGATCCACAGCGAAACCTCCACGAAAGTACCAATATCAAGCAAGCTAGAAATGACCCTGAATATATACTTAAAAATATCATGACATACCAGCACGCAATGACTACCTTTGCTGCCTTCAAATTTCCTGATAGAGCAAAGTTGCATTTGACGTGTGGAATCGAATTATGCAAAGGCCAATGCCCCGTGGTAGATTGCAAAGCGTTGCAGAAGCCGCATCAAACTAGAGATGGATTGGTCAGAAAAGCAAGGTTGAATAAAGACGCGAAGGGAGTGGTTATTGACCGATTGGAAGTCTACAACAGTATTGAGGTTCTCGCACCAAACATTGAGTTGGAAGATGAAGCTTCAATAAGAGGTAATATGCACTTTTCACCTACACTGTATCGGCTTAAGTTTTTTCCCAAGTCGTTCATTTAGATCTGTCTCTCATTCAGAGAAAAAACTAGTACATAAATTCAATATCCTTTTTGTACAGGTTCGAGAAGAATCGAAGGTGAAGATGAATTCGTCCGAGGCTTCTCTCCTGGTGATAAAACTATCTGCTTATCTCCTGGCAAAATGGCTCTAGCATTCTGCGTATTAGGAGTCATATTCCTATGCGCCATTGCTGTAGCCTTCGTTTCATTGGTTCGAGCAAGAAGGCGTTTGGGACGGGAACCGCTGCACACGTCGCTCTCTTTCTACACTGGTAGCAAAAGCTTATTTTCTTCAAGCGAGAGCTCAAGTTCTGGACTCAGTGGAAGCAAGCTGCTTCTCACTGATAGTCCGTATTTAGACCATCATTCCTCATCAAGCAATAATTGGCCCTATTCCAGGGCTTTTTAAATAACAAATTCAACTGAATTAAAACGACTGTAAAGAAGTTACTATTTAAATACTTCTTTGTCTATTCAGCACCGACAGTTAGAAAGTCAAGCTCAATAACTGAAGCGCGAAATCAGGTTGTTTATGAAGTTAATTGTTCTCTAATAACTTGTCAAAGGTACAACTACCTATTATTTCGTGATGGAAGTGCATGAAACGTGCTATATTCTGGATAGACTATTTAATTGTGTTACAACGTATTAATTTATTGAATATCAATATAGTAAGACTGCTCCATACATTTAAGTTCGTAATAACCTTTGAGAGTGCTTGTTTGAACAGGAACAAATTAAGAGGTACCTACAAGGAGAATTAGATTGTTTACTGTTCATTATTACAAGCATTTTTCCTATTTATTATTAGATGTTAAAAAGGAATTTTCCATTGAGGAGGTGCATTTGAATCTTTGGGACAACGACTGCCAAAAACATGCTTCAAAGGAATTAATTGTACATAAAATAACATTTTACCAAACAGATACAAAGGTTTTGAAAGTTTTTTGTTGATGAACTTGTTCAAAAATGAATTTTGGATAGGTGTGTTTTAAATGTTACTTCTGTCCCCTTAGGTTTAGGGTTTTTAAGGGTTTACATTCCTAGTAAGTATAACCCGTAAAAGTTAACATTAAACATTGCACTCTGTTTTCTATTCTCTGATCTCTCTATGTTCCGTATTACAAATTGACATCGAGATCAGAAACTAGTGCTAAATCTTAAGTTAACTTATGCGGTTTATAAGATTCACCTACTATGGATTTTGTCATCTGCGCTTCCTCGAACTTAGATTAAAAATTATTTTATTATCAATGTAATTTAGTATTTATGAATCAAATAATAATGTGATAAAGGATCATAATTATCAATAATGATCAGCAAGTTCTAGACAGTGCTTCTATTTTTATAAATTTCTATTTCAATTCAATAAATTCTTAAATAAACAAACCTTGTGTAATTATTTATTGTCGAAATCCTACAGCATTGAGACAATAATTAGAAAAAAATTGTGCCAGTTGATTACACTTACATCAGGACCAAGTACTTTTTTTGTAACTCACAGAGTTTCCAAGTCAAATCCCAGGTCACGACCAAATCAAAACAGTGCGTATCATAAATTGTCGCAGTGAAAATTTGTTTTTTGACTTTATTTGTAAGTCAATGTTTTTGACCCTTGCTTTTTTTAAGTATAATGTCATTGACCTTGAGGTCACTCTATATCTAATTGAAATTTGAAATAGGTACGTACATTAGTAAGATTATTTTTGGTTTGAAAAAAGAAAATAAAATATTCGACAGAGTTAGTGAGTAAGCATATTTTTTTAATTATCTCTTGAAACTTGAAAACACGAAATCCTCCAACGATTAACTCAGTGTATCATGTGACACAGAACGAACGTAAGAATCCCATGTTTTGCTACAGATTATTACGTAGGTACCTACATTTTATGTATAAGATCCATGATCCATGATTACAATATGCAAATGTTCAACTAAAACAAAGTTTGAGGTTACTACATTCAAACTTCTTTCCCATTCCAATTTAATATAGGATGTTAATCTTATAACTTATTTATTTAGAATTGAAACTCAAAACGGTAATAATACTTAAATTAAAAATTGAGTTGTGAAAAAACTGTAACTACATAATATCAGTACTTACAGAGTACTAAAAAACTGTAACTACATAATATCAGTACTTACAGAGTACTAAAAAACCGACCTCAAAAGTTCGTGGAATTACATAATATCTATTTGCCTAGTTTTGTTGAAATCGGTCACCGAAAAGTGCGCGAAACCGGATTCATCCCCTAGTTTGTCATCTTCGGAAATGAAATTCGGAGGTGAAATATTTTCTCCAAATTTAAATAGGACCACTACTGAGGTATCCGTTTTCCAACAAAAAAGAATCATCTAAATGGGTTCACAAATTTAAGAGTTATCGCATAACATACATACAAAAAAAAAAACAGTCGAATTGAGAACCTCTTCCCTTTTTTGAAGCCGGTTAAACACTCCATGATCAGTATCACAGACATATATATCTAGATATATTTATTGTCTGTGACCAGTATGATGCATATAGGATTAGTCTATGGTATGATGTTAAGAATTTTTTCTTGTTTTCTTGGCTTTTCGCGATTAGTGTTTCAGCCAATTTCTTGTTATGATATACCCTTAGAGGATGGAAAAAAATAAAATAGTCTAAGGATATACCATACCACAACTTAAAAAAATTCTAGTTGTCTATGGCTCTTTGATAGTGAAGTTCACACACATTTTGTTTGATATCCATCCAGATTATGTTAAACGTTAAACGGTTTTCCAGGATTTCACAAAAATTAAGATTTGCAGTAGCTCTAGTAAAGCGGCGGCATGTGTGCGTCCCCGCCAGAGTAATGTTTTTCCGGGATATATCTAGATTAATAATGTTGCTAATAGGAGTCGTGAATGTTGAACAAAACAACAAAACAATACAAATACCATTAAGATCTACTAAATAAAATATTGTTTTAAGTAACAAACTTTTGTTGAGAAACATTTTTATATATTTGGTGGAATAACATAAGGAATAAATTATTTACCTACTTTGAGTGTAGGTAGGTATATCTTGTGAATCCGGTGTCTGTGGTATTTTTGATATAAGATATTTCCTTTACCGGACAGATTTCGCCGGCAGGAAATGAAATCTTTATAACCACTTTTATCAGGCCCGTAGACAAAGAAAACAAAGCTTACAAAATAAATCTCGGAGGAAGAACTACCATCGTATCGATGGACAGGATCAAGCCAAACTATTCTATGAAAAATCCTGGTATTCCTTCTAGTCAACCAGTCTTCGCTTCCACTTCAACCATCGTTGCCTGTGCCGCGACCTGGCACGCGCTCCGGTAGGCGCGTCCACTTCCCTCAACTTTATCGATCTTAAGGCCCTCCCAGGCCTGAATTGGCAACCGACCACCTTGCTATTTTTGGTATTACATATTTCTTCACTTGAAAAATATAAAACTTCGTTTTCAGTTTTATTGTCAATTGATTATACTGATATATTTTACGTGGAGTAAATTAATTAAGTAATAATTGTTATTATTATTTTTCCCTAATGGCGGTCACGAGACTTGGGCCCGTGTCAGGGGGTCTACTCTCGATCTCCGTCCGACATCCGTCCGAAACAATCACTGTTAAACATTGACTTACAAATAAATGGACGACGGGTCTAATACAAAAACCAAGAAAAAAATGTCCCAAGTCAACCTATTCGAAATTCAAATTGTAATGTCATCGCAGTATCGCGCTGTCTGTCGAACAATTGAAGACTAAAGCGGAGTGTGGCGCTCTGTATACGATTTTAGCGCCTTACAAGTGCGGACACTTTTTAGCGCGGACCCGACGTCCATATAATTGTAAGTCAATGTTGTTAAATAAGTAATATTCGACAAAATTAAAAGACAAGTATCCAGTATGAAGCTTCTTTCGCATCACGCGTCTTATCATTTGGTCAAGAATTGCTTATTTGGCAGTAATTGTTTCGGACGGATGTCGGACGGAGATCGAGAGTAGACCCCCAGTTTTGTAAAAATGAAAAATGAAATAAAAATTATGACGATCGCCGCCAATGTCAGTTATTTTCTTCCAGATTGTCTTAAAGAAATAATTGTTTGATTTATGCCGTATTGCTTTTAAGTCTTAGACTATGGACTTTCCTTTATTTTTTTCCACCCTATGGTACTACATTGTTTTAATGTAAGTTTCGCTGTTTTAAAAACAAATAAGTGGCTGAAACGCTAACCGCGAAAAGTCAAGAAAAAACAAAAAATACTGCTGAGTGTTGACATTTACATTTTATTTATTCTACTATTATATGTAAACCTTAGGCCTTAGAGGGTGGAAAAAATAATAATCTAAGATGTAAAGTGACAAAATTTCGTTGGAACGCGTACTCTACGCGGTAGCGCAAAGCGTTACTGGGTATCATCAATAAAAAAAATAGTCGATCGATTTAGTACCATAGACAATCCAAATACATGCGTACAACACTAGCACCAACTATGACATCATTTTGATCAAAGATTAAATAGTCGCAGACAACCCATTGTTTTGTTCATTTAACTTTCAATACAAGGAAGCACTTCTAATCAACAATGAAAAAAAAAAAAATTTAAATTCAATCATCAAACATAAGTAAAAAAAACCTTTTACCCTATATTCCAATGCAATAAGTATAATAATTGAACGAAGATGCCTTAAATAAGTAGAAAGAATGAAAAATAAGAATAACAGAGTTATTAAAATGAGTTCGTAAAAGTTTAAAGAATTCGAAATGGACGAGAGTCGCCAAGGAGCGTGTCACACTTGCCAATATTTTCGATAGTGTTTTAGTTACGTAAATTGTCACATGTCAGCGATGGCAAAATGTTTAAACTGTTTGGTAGAAATTATTTGGTAAAATCATAAATTATAATTTATGAAGTTCACGAGACCGTTTTATTGTTCGCTAAGGGAACGATAAATTCTCCAAAAAGCTATTTAACGAAGAGATAAATTCAATGAGAGACTTGAATAGAAAGTTATTTTACAAACTGAGAAGAAATACACATATAGGTAAAAATGGGCAGTAAATTTTACATAGAAATGGTCTAGATATGAAAATAACGTAATTATGCCGTTGTGCCTTATTAAGTTTTGTGTACTTTAGAGGTGAACGTTACATTATTAACTGATTAACTAATGTGAAGTAAAGTGAAATTATTTCTTGAAAAATTTATTTTTAAGCTATAACCAAAAAAATAAAGTAGTCAACAGTGGTTCACAATTCATTTCATTTATTTAAAACCTCCAAACTTAACAGGGGTAGGCATGAATTAGTTTCACAGAAAATAACTTTAATCTTTGACGCTTGGGCGGTGAGTGAGGTGATGCTTTCAAGACGACTTTTTTCGCTCGTCCGTTTGCCTCGCCCTCGACTCTCCGCGCACGTACTCGCTCATGGATGATATTTCAAAGATTTCTATATGAATTGTGATTATTTCTGAACTCTAATCTCATCAAGTGCTTGATTGTTATGATTTTGTTTCCGAACGGCCGGTACGGGAACAATTATTCGAGTGTTAGTGCCGTGGGATTGAATCTGGTACTCTGGCCGTAAGGTCACTTGTGATATTTTGTGTGTGCCGACGAGTTTATGTGTAAAACTGTGCTGAAAGAGCATTCCCGGACTCTTAGCATAAGGTATGTATGTTAAGATTAGTCACGAAAACGCTGAAATTTGACTTTCTACCGCACGTCCTTAGCTTAGACATCGAACTGTATATGCATACGATTTCTTTAAGTGGTCCGTATCCTTCCTTATACTTTTCTATTTGACTCTGAGCGGCTTTGCATAATAATTATTACTACAGTGTGCGTAGAACTCTTACATTAAGTTAGTCAATTTCTTGCAGTTGATTACTTTTAATTGGCTCAATAATTTCCAAGTGGACCGTCTTTCCGGTTCTCTTGTTAAAAAAAGACCATATTGTTGCAAAGGCGAGTTGTTTTATTCAAATTAAGTCATTGCAACTTTAATTAATGTATTACTATGATTAGAGATGGGAAAAACTGCTTATTTTTTAACTGTTTGAACAAAAGGCATGCTTTTTGAGACGCTTTTCACTTAAGCGTTTTATAGTTTAAAGCTTAAAAGACCGTTTAGAAAAACGTATAAATTAATAGATTTTATGTTAAAAAAAGCGTGCTTAGCAGCGTAGTCTGGATAGCAAAAAGCAAGAGTAGAACACTAAAGGTTTTAAGTTAGTATGTTGATGTATAAACACGGGTTTTATTTTTATTTATAAAATTATTATACTCATTGACAAATTCATTTGTTTAAGATACATAAATGGTGGGACATGAAACTTAGGCGCATTGTAAAAAAATTTAATTGTTGAGAAAATAAAAAGCTTAAAATTAAAAGCGTGCTTATTTTAAAAAGCAAACCTTTTTGACGTTTTTGTGTGTATGGTACGCAATTACTCTCAAATGTTACGGCATTTGTGAACTGATTTTGAGGATTCTTTTTTGTTGGAAAGAGGGTACCTCAGTACTGGGCCCATTTGAATTTAAAGAAAATATTCCTCTTCTAAGTGGCAAATGGGGGATAAATCTGGTTTCACGCACTTTCCAAAAATTTAAGTTCCTTTTTTTGAAAAAGTATTAATAGCTCAGAATACACCTGTAATAGGAGAAATATCTATTTACTCTTTGCAGTCTTTGGTTTGAGCTATTCAAGGTTAATAATGTATTAAATAAACACTGAAGAGTATGAATCTTAAAACCCATAACTTAATTGATATAAAGGCATGTTCTCAATAGAAAGGTAGGAAGAACCAGTGGAATCACAAGCACAAACAGGATCAGATGTGGTGCCAAGGGCAATATTGGTCTTAACTCGAGGAGGGGCTGACATTGCTTTGGATGTTGATATTATTTTTGGACATAAACATAGAAGGAAGCTTCATGCTGGTTTTCAGGCTTAGGAAAGCAAAGGTTCTCAAGAAAATTTTTTTTAGTTGTGGTAAAGTAAAACAATTTCAATTCACAAGAAAACATTTCACAAGGTGAAGCAAAAATTGTCACACAACAGCTCACCGTTGCACTCAATTGTTTATGTGTGTTTCATTATTCCAATGTCATGACATTACATATTGGTAAGATTTTTAACAATACATAATGTACTTCTTTTTGTAACTCTGTAAATATATCAACATTGTGGATAATTCTGTACAATTACAAATATAGTAAAAATGAGTGTAAAAATAAATATTAATTCCATAAAAAGATTATTTTTGTGCATGTATTTGTATCATCATTAGCAGTGTTTAAATTTACTGTATGTAGCAAGTGTGGGTTTGGTTAGTGTCAGATAATAGTGTTTTTTATCATTCACTGTTATCAATTCTTAGTAACCAGCACTGACACTTACTTGTGATACTAATTTTACCTATATTATACGTAATTAACGTGAAATATTTATTGGAAAAGACCTACGGGTAACTATTACATCTTTACCACATGCAAAATAGGCACTACAATATCCAATTGTGGAAACTAGCCCACTACACTACACGAAACAATATTATTCTATACACAATGATTTAAATGTCAATAATAAAATAGTTTATATGTATAAATAAATAAAAATATTATATTGATTATATTAATACGTAATAATAATAATACATGTTTATATACATTAAAAGATTGGTATGGTGTGACCGCCTGATCTCCGCGACTCAACGTCTAGGCCTCTATATTGCGTGAGTGGAATCAATATGTTACTTCAACAACAAATTTTTCTATTATTAAAACTGCATCCCTATCATTTGCTGTGCCGGACTGGGTCCATAATAAATTTCTCTCTGTATTTTGTTTTTACCACAGACCTTGTTAATATTATGGAAAATCAATAAAGTATTGAGTTCATCATACCATTTGTTTAATAAGTATACCATAGAGTTTCCACTTACTCTCCTCAGGCTAATTTACCTTGCAATTGTATACTAATGTTTAATGATTTTCAGAATATGAAATGTGATTTGTTTAACTATGAAATAAAAGATTTTGAATTTCAAATTATCTAAATTTATAAAACTCTGGGTATACATATATAACTAGAGTTTTCTAAATTCTATGAAGGAGTTACCTGTATGTTTTCCAGCTGTTGGGTAAGTTCCTTCAGCTCATTAAAATTATAAGAAGAGGAGGTTCTAAACAGAGTATAATTTTGTAAATATAATTATTACAATAATTATCACAATCAAACCTATATTTTTCTTGTATAAGTACTTATACAAAGTTGATATTGTGTTCTTGTTTTCTGTTTATTATTTCTTCATTTCATTTCCATTCTCAAAATTTAACCATTAAAGACTGACTTTTAAGTTTTACAAATAATGACATTAATAACAATTAGTTGTATATAATTCATGTGTTATTGTTGGTAATAGAAAGATGTTTTTAAAAATTCCACTCCTAGCTCACTTGATCAAAAAAGCATGATATTTCTAATCCATTGACAGTAACTTTTTTTTTATAAACTCCAGCAGTCGGATGACTATGAGCAGATGAGTTGCATGGTTTGTGGCATGTACAGTCAACTCCCCATGAGGAGCCCCTCCAATTGCAGCTGGATTTGCACTTCTCATAGGCAACCAACTGATCGCAAAATTACATGATGCCCCAAAAAAAAAAGCAGTAATCCCAAACCACATTGGCAAACCAGGTCATGAGAACTGACCAGAAATTGCTTGAAATCAACAGCAATAGTAATTTAAGCCACAGGAAAGCTCTTTGTCTTTCACTCTTTACATCTTTGCTATATGAGTGAGTGAAAGACTGGTGTACTATTCAAATTGCACTTGCAATAACAAGCTGCCTACGGCGCCGGTGTCGCAAAAGCATGTGGCCAGCTTGTTACACCCTTCCACTCAAGTTCCATTTCCTATATTGTTTTTTGTGTCAATAGTGGCAGACTTTGTGGTAGGAGTGTACTTAAATTGAACAAGTTTTGTATAAATGACATGGGGTGTCATTTATACCTCCATTTAAAATCTGTAGCCATAGATGGAGAGACCGACATCTATAACTGCATGAACCTACGATAGATATTAACATTGTTTTGCTACATTAACTTTGTTAAACTAAATTACAGTAACCTCATTTTTTTTTTCAAATACAGCTTATAAATGGGCAACCCAATGATTATTTATATTGTATATACCATTTACATTTCATGATAAAATATTCAGCAAATTTTGTATTGCATAATGCAAATATATTCATGTGGTCACAGTATATATTTTTTTGAATGACTAAGTTTTCCTTGAATGAATTCAATCAATGACCTGTTTGATGTTTTTTATCAAACAGATACATTAAATTGTATATTTGGTTGTAGGTATTTGGTACTTCCTTCAGTGTTTGGTAATTTAGTCTTTTAATGGATAGATAGATGTAGGTGTCCAGAGAAAGATGGCCAGCAGCAATGGATGTGGACAGTTCAGGACCAGGAGAGTTGGAGAGCTCAGGGGAGGCTTATGTCCAAGAATACACGCGTGTAAGCTGAGGATGTTCTGATCGTTTAATAACAGCAGTGGTAGCCCTGTGGGAGAACTTTTTCTTCTCAACAGAGAGGTGGACGGTTTGGATCCCTATGGATGCCTCCTAATTAATTGCTAAGCTATGTAAATTTATGAATGTTCATGGCCTAAACACTTCCAGTAGAGAACCTGTGCCCAGCAGTGGGAGGTATTGTGGATTGACGATAACGATCCTTTAACGTGTACAATTTTCATTTTATTTATGCATTATGAATGATATAAATAAAATAGAATGTAAAAGGACCGTCAAATTGTGGCTTAAGAGTAAGATTTACAATGAAACAGAGGACTTGCTGGAAGTGGTTTCATAATTACAATTTGTTGTAACCATTAATTTATAACTACTAATTATTTTATTGTTAAATATAGAAAATCTATTTTTAAGCTGTAATATAAAGAAATTTGCATAAAAAGATGCCTAAAATACAGGTATACATTTATTTAGTTTAGGCATCGCAATTACACATTAGATGCTTTAAAATATATAATAGCTTTACTATGAAGAATGTATAATCTAGATTCCCCTGTTAATTCTGATTTAAATACTATAATAGCCTTATTTACATTTGTTTTTACTTATATTGTATTAGATTAAGTTCTATTGAAATAAATTTATCTTTATTATATACTTGAACTTACACCAGCAGACTATCGCGGGAAATGAAGTTGTTTATGTATGTGTAGAGGTACACACTAGCAGAGTTCTAAATGAAACTGTTTGGTGCCGTGGGCACGTCCTGCCAGTTTGTATAGCCCCCGAACTGTGCAATGGAGTGTGAAGGACTATAAATAAAACCTATTGGCAGGTGTACTGTAAACACTGTTCGCTTTGGCCTTTATAATCGTCAACACTTCAGAAATGATCTCAAAATATTCGAAATAGGGTACTCGCATTAGTACTTAATGTTTCAAGGATTCTTACGAAAGATTTGGCTAGAAATTGTATTTACACCAACTCCTTCTAAAGTAGCTTCTATGTACTCTATGGTATAGAGTAATATTTTCTCAATAAACTTTGCAACAGGTCTTAGCATTACGACATTACCCTTTCTTCACTAATTGAATACCAGCCTAAAGATAATGTTAAAAACG